GGGGGGGGGGGGGGGGGGGAATATTTGACTATTGTTGACAAGGAGGGAGAAAGTAAGGAGTGGGGGTTTAGATTAGTTGACTTCAACAATCATGTTTTCTCTAATAAAATTTTAATCTTAAAAATTGACTGGTTATTACATTATTTTAACAAATTTAATGAGTGTAAATTAAGATGGTTAAATAATTTTTAGGATTTTAACAATATTAGATTTATTTAATGTGTGTCTGTCTGTGCACTGCTGATGGCTCGTCAGAATGTTAGCACATTTAGTTAATGCAAGAGAAGTCAAAAGTTGGCCTCTCTTCAACTGTAGATATATCAGTTCCGCTAGATGAAAATGATAAATCAGCTACTATGCCCATTGTTACAATAGAGCAACACATGTCTGGCAACTCCCTGGGAAGATAATAGCAGCTAGAAAATATGCTACAATTGTCAGCATAACTGACAATAATCATATTTTTACTTCCACAAACAATGATAGTTAGTCTTTAACAACCTTTTCATCGATTCTGCATTATAAAATTTAATGGTAAAAAACTTTTTAACTTGTTGATTAACAAGCTAAGATGCAATAAAATGTTTTTCCTACAATTTTGTGTTATTAACCCACAAACTGTCCATTGTATCATTCTGTACTGTGGAGGCACTTTAGAGCTTTTTGGGTGCCTTTGGAAAATGTGATTTTTCACATGCAAATACTTTAGCTAGACCCAATAAAGTATACATTTATTGAAACTAGACTGGGTGAGGAATCATACTGGCTATTTTTTAATGATATTTTATAGTCGTTGACCGTGACCTTGGAGTGACCAAGAAAAAAATAAAATAATGAAAATTTTTCTTTTTAAGTACCTCAAAATACAATTTTTTTAAGGCATATTATTATAATTTTTTATAATATGATAGCATTTTTATTTATCTTTTAGAAAATGTAAATGTATCATTTGAATAGGTTTTAGTTTTTAATAGATTTTTAAAAAAAAAAATTCTTCAGATACCAGTACCTATGATAACGTTCAAGTAACAAAGCACGACATAAACAATATAAACATTACTAAATAGCAATGTTAAAAGCTGCTATATAAATATTTAATCCATAAAATGAAATATAAATAATCATATGTAGAACAACATCCAATTATTTTTTGTTGGTACAAAAATATTCTGCAACATAGTTTTGAACGAGTCCTGTTGTTGGGGCAATGCCTACTAGTTCTAGGCTTAGATCGTCTGAGTCCGAACTTTCGCTTTCTGACCTACTAGAAAAATAATCGGATTATCATTGTCTTCGTGTGTGATCAGAAAATCATCTTCCGAATCACTTAAGTCATTAACTAAAAAGAAATATCAAAAAGATTCCTAACTGATTTATTTTGTAAGCCAGATGGTCCAGCTATGGCCTCATCCATTTCGTGAAAATCAAACTACAAAACTTTGCTTGATAAAGAACATTGTAAAAAATAACTCCAAATTTTAAAAAAAGGACCCAGAAAAGCCAAAAATGGAATTTTATTTATTATATAAAGGAATTCATTTTATTTGGTGTAAAATATTAGAGTGGAACTTATTCTTTCAACGCAATTTTTATCAGCCGTTTTTATCAGCCGACACAGTTTGGGAAGGGAAGATCAGCCTATGACAGTTTGGCGGTAAAATAGATCATAACAAAGTAAAATGTAGTTATATATTTTTTTATATTATCATTCATAAATCTTTTAATTTTCTTAGAGGGGGGGGGGGGGGATCAAAATTTTACATAATTTCCGGGGGGGGGGGGGGGGGAATAAAAATTTGGACTGTTGTGGGACTGTGGGGGGGGGGGGGTCATCAAAAGTTTGACAGTTGTTGGTTGACAAGGGGGAGGGGGTAAAAAACTGCTGACATAATTAATGGACAGCCCCATAGTTAAAATGCTGTCTACTGATCGGTCAATTAATTATTAATTATTTTATTAATTATTATTAATTGATCAATTAATTATTATTAATCTATATTAATTGATTTGCATACCTTTATAAGAGTCACTATGTTTTTATTTTTGCATAATTTTCATATAATTTTTATTGCAGTATTTCAAAAAAAGTGCATTTACATTTAAAATACACAAAAAGTGAGTTATACATTTTGATAAAGTACATACAGAGCACTAATGCATCTATTAATATGGAATAGTAGATATTAATACAAAAATAACTGAAATTAACTTAAGTACCCAAAAAAAGGAATCATCATGTATAATAGTACCGTAACATGCATGTTAGCAGTAAAATTACCATTAAAATAGTTAAAATGTTTTCATTAAAAATAGCATTAATAGGGAATTATTTTATATTTTAAAAATAAGCATGATAATTTTGTTTATGTGAGCGTACAGGGCCTGGCTAAACCCCCCTCTTTCAATAAGGCCTGGTTAGGAGAAAACACTGAATTCAGAAAAAACTATTAAAAAAACTATTTTGTGCATGAACTTAAAGCTTTTTTTATCAGTGTCCAATTCTATATAGAAGACATAAGTGCTTAATAATTTAAAAGATGGTAGCGTTTACTGTCACGAGACAAGCTAATGTCCCCCTCACCTGCTCAGAAAGCCTTGGTTTGATCCATTCAGGTATCCATGTTGCTGATTCAAGATGAAACCTAACTTCAATTTTACTGTTAGCTGTCAAAATAAAAAAATTGAAAAACTTTAAAAATCTACTTTTTTTTAAAAAATTGTCCACAACAATAAGAAAGAAATTTTCAAATATATTCTAGTTTTAACATATGTTCAAACAGTACCTGTATTAACACCTTGCCCGCCTGGACCACTGCTTCTAGAGGCAGAAATTTCTAAGGCTTCTGAAAGCAATATAATTAAAAATTATTGAATTGTACAGAATTTGTTAAATTATCTGTATATTATAAATACACTTTTTTAACAAAAAGCTACTTATTGCGTCGGACCATTCCATCATTATACCTGATAAGTAACCTCTTGTGATTGAACACTCTATGTCTATGCAAAATTGACCTATTTATGCATTAAAATTAAAATATATACATGCAAATAAAATATGATTCCTTTAGTCATGATATTAGTATTATTACTGCTATCCTTTATAATAATTGTCATGACTTAAAATATACCAGGTACCGGTATATTATATGTAATTTTTTTTTAAAAAAGGGTTTCTTTGAGAAATGTAATTTCCTTTGCAAAAACAAGTGCAAAAACAAGTTTCCATATGGCAAAACTTCAACATAAAAATTCTGCATAAATGCATGTAAGTATTTACAAAAATTTTGACAATTAAGAAATTGAATTTTCTTACCTATAGGAATGTATCCAGAAAATGTCTCTTTTGTCCTTGATTCTTTTTGACCCTATCAAGTAGTTAAAATAATTGATAAAATTTGAAATAAATACATATCTTTTTAAATACAGCATCAATCACAGACACTCAAAGAGATAGATTAAATTTATATAATATATACTTTGCTAGCACAGCATCATTAAAAAAGATGTAGGCCTATGGCCTATGTTGTAGTATAGATTTTTAACTATATTTCAACAATTTTATTTAATTTTTACAATATAAAATATATGCTCTACTTTGACTTTTAGTATGCAGCAATGAAAATCTGCCAGTACTAAGTATTTATGCCAATAAAATATAATGTATTAATCATTCTGGCTCCTATAACTAGTATAGTGTTAGCACAGGCACAGTACTGTTACCAAGAGTATATAGAGACAGTTTTACAAAGACATCAAAAGGCCAACAATTTTCAGTCTTACACATAGGCTTGTTTGGTATAAAGCAAAATAAAAATAATAGTAATAAATTGAGTCAATCTACCACTTCAGTTTCAGCATTGAATCATTGGTTAAAGTTAATGAATAATAAAAAATCCTGTTGTTCTCTGTACTGTTCAGGTTTGAAGTGCTATTTAAACAGTTAAAGTAAGTGATACCAGTGACTTAATTATGTATTGAATATCGAATTAGCGAATAATTAGAATAAATGTTGGCGGCAATGCTCTTGTTTAACATACTTTTTTAGGTTCTGTTGGCTCAATTGACTGTGAATGTGATTGCGGTCGCCGCAGAGAGTGAGTGAGCGACTCAGACTTTCTTAAGAAGTCTGGGTTGCTGTTTGGGTAAATTTTGTCGATGCTTAAATGACTTTTAAAGCTTGCTACTTGCATGGAAACGCAACATTGTTCTTTTAGGACATGAGTTAACTGGTGTCTCAAAGAAATTGTACACTTCCGAAACATGCTTATCGTTGTATTTTAGAAAAAAATAATAATGTAATTATCATCGCAAGGTGAACAAAAACTAAGATAAACTTTGCATTTGCGAATGATCTGCCCTTGATTTTAGCTACTTCCGGATTTACAGTAATCCTTTTACTAAAAAGCAAACATTAAAATAGAGCAGGGCCAACCCAGTTTCCCTTGCGCAATATCTTTGCAGTGGTAAGTTATATTTTTAGCGATTTCATAGTTTAAAACAACATTCACATAGTTGAATTTTACTACCTGGCACTTTAAGCAATCAGAGTACCACGAGTGAGTCATTTGTGACACAAGTAGTGCTTACTTTTGAGTTAGGTAGTTAAGTTAGGAGTAGGAGTGTAGGACGATGACGAGAGTGGAAGCAGTGGACGTATTAACTAGTCTCTAGAGATAGGCATTACAATTTGGCCTAGTGAATTACATACATACTACTGTAGAAAATTGAATAGTGTAAGTGTAGGCCTAGCTATACTATAAGTACAAGTCAACAAGTTACAATTAATCATTTCATTTCTTAACTTGGACATTTAATTTAAAGTGTAAATGTAGAATTTAGTAGTTTAAAGTAAAAAGCCCAGTATCATGTATCAGTTTAATTATTAGTATTTCTTCTACCACATCCTGGAGGGAAAACAATTTGTTTCAATGGCAACTTTTATGCCTTTACTTTTCACATTTTGTATGTATACGCTGGTTAAGTCAAGTTGTACAGCCTAACAGTTACAGGTTTTCACTTGATTTAAATAGTTTTAGGTAAAGCACCACGAGTACAATACTCATTCATGCACAAATTCTGTGCATCATTTGGAAAAAAATCATGCAAAATCCTTTGCGGCAATATAACATTTGTTGAGAATCTTTTTTTGTGTGTGTGTGTTTTAAGCCACTTTTTTTCTATTAATTAATAAATAATTTTGTCAACATTAATGATGTAAATGAAAATGTAAAGTAAAGCGCATATTTTTCCAAAACTGGTGATACCATTTTTGCAGCATGGTGGGCCTATGAATGGCAATGCATTTACTATGATCTTATTTCCGTATGTACTTAAGTAGCTTAGAACTTTTTTATGTAAATTCTAATTCATAAGACATAGTGGTTTACACTGCTTCATTCATTTACAAACAGAAATAACTTTATTTCGTTAATAATAGTAATTTTGAAAAAAAGTGGGAGGTGTACAAAAATTAAAATGTGAGTTGTCACCTGCCTCAAAAACAAAATTTGGGTTGTCCCAAATGGCTCTTCATCAATTTAATGTAAAGAGATTTTTATTATTGTTCATCTTTAAAATCCGTGGAACACTAATCAGTTATTGAAGAATGGGAAAAAGTTTTAACATATTTTTAGAAATGAAGACAACCCATTAAATTAAAAGATTTTTATTAATTTTAGTTTGTGTAGTAAGTTGTATTTTGGACTTGTTTTGGCCATTATTTTATATAATTTTATGTGTACGCCTAGTTATTAACCAGTATTTTCATTAATTATAATTAATGAAATAATAACACAATAAAAAGCACTGCTATTACTATTGATAATACTATTATTAATTATTATTTTTAAAAACTGGGCTCAGCATCCAGACACACTACTAAGTGTTAACTCAATATGATATATTTTTGTGGAAATTGACAATTGTGTCAATCTATGACTTGTTTGAAATTTGATAATAGACAAATGAGCCCAAAATTTGTAAAAAGAGACTTAAAATTAATAAATAAGACTCAACATAATCATAGTAATTGTAGTTTTATTTTGGCATAGGAAACATTTTACATGGACAAATATTTAATATTTCTAGTAAAATATTCTTATTAGAACTAAGAATAAGTTGTACAATTTTGTTGTGTAAATAGGTTGGCTAAGCCAACAATTTTCTTAGGCTAAACATTTAATCAACATTATTTTTAAATAGATTTATACCACACTTTCACTAGTTTCACCACAACACTCCATTGTCAATAGATGTGAAAGATTACTGATTATCTGCCATTTTTATCATTGGTCATTGCTATTCTTAAGGTGGACTTTATTGTTAACCCAAGGTTCAGTTTTATTTAACATGATTTTGAAAATCATGATTTAGTTAGAAATATATTTTATGTTAATAATAATAATAGTTGTAAAGGTATTCAAAATATCTGTCATTCATTGTTAATTAGTGATTCAACTATTCTTTAAACTAGAGTTTCCTAAACTGTGCATCGCTGTGCTCTAGGAAACAGTAGCTTTCTCATAGGGAATCATGAAGAAGTGTTTAAAATTTCTTAACGTAATGAGACCCGACATCTGTATTAAAATTCTGGCATAATAATTAAGCTTATATCTCGTTTTTGTTTATAAGTAACTGTCTGTTTTTGCGCATCTTTGTGCTGAATTCGTTTTCTAACTTTGTAATGTAGAATATTATTGTCATAATTGTGATTAAGTCAAATGAAGTTATTTAAGTATTGCTTCTCGTTTATGTTTCAAAATGGATGAAAATGTTGGAAAAGAATGTTTCTCCTTATTTCAATAGTTCTTTTTGTCCAATGAAGTTAATATATTTTGAGATATGAACACTTATCAAAGCTTTTTACCGTTAATGGGTTCGAGAAATGTTTCAAAATAAAAATATTGGTATATCAAGATCCATTAAATGACACTACTCCATCTGAATTGACTGCTGTAGAAGAAGAGAATCTTATTAAGTTTTCCTGTGACAACAGGTTAAAAAAACCAGTTTATCAATATCGAATTTGATTTTTTTTTATAAATCAGTAAAAGATTAATATTTTAAGTGGTAAAGCTCAGTCGATTTTAACTCCATATGCAACTTTTCATTTGTGCGAAGCTGGGTTTTCATCAGTGATAAAGACTAGTTAATCAATACCGGTACATTCAATGTACATTAAGAAATGAGGGTGACTATGTCCACTTTGGTTCTAAGATTTTAGAAATGATGTGGTGATCAACAGTCTTTATCTATCCAAATAATTTTAATTAGTTGAATTTTCTGGGGGAAAAAAAAAGCTACAGACGTTTATCAACTCATGTCTCCGAACGATTTTACGAATCCGCTGGCCCAACGTCATCACCAACGAGGGTCTCTGGAGGCGCACACAACAAGAACCAGTGGAAGAGGTAATCTGCCAGCGCAGATGGAGATGGATTGACCACACCCTCAAAAAGCCTGCATCAAGTATCACGAGACAAGCCCTCACTTGGAACCCCCAGGACAAGAGAAAAAGAGGTTGACCCAAAACGTCTTGAAGACAACACTAGACACATTTGCGTCTATTGCCTCAAGCCTTCCAACCCCCATTGCATGATTCCTTCACAAAGTAGCACTTGTAATCATTGAAATATCCTCATCAGCACCAGGCACAGAAACATTGCAAATCCCCTCTACATGCATAGGAGCCAAAATGACCAATAAATTGATCGTGGGCCCTTAATATATTAGAAGAATTGGGGAACTGGAGGCAGACACCAAAAAGAGTGGCCGCAACTGGGGACAGTTGGTGAGACTTGCCCAAGACCGTGATGCCTGGAGAGCCTTTGTTTGTGGCCTATGCCCCAGACGGGACAACAGGCTATGATGATGAGGATGATGAATTTTCTGAATTACATTTTTTTTTTTTGATCTTAATAGCATCTTTTATTATGTTTCTCTAACAATTATGACAGTATTCAACATAGGGGGTCTTTGGTAAGTTTGATAAATCTGAATGCAAGGAAAGTCAATGTTGGGGAACCTATAGACAATTGGTATTGTTTGGCATTTTGACAATAACTTGCTTACTTTAGGTTTTATTCAAATACAGTAAAATCTTGGATTGCCAGTATTTTGCTAGAATAGGGCTTGTCATTTAATGGCGGACATCTATTAATAGAACTGATGTCATAATTACTCATCCGGGTACTCAGCGCGGACAAAATGTCAACACTGTTCAGCATTACTGTGTTAGCGAAGTGTCCCTGAAACTTGTTTACAAATCTATTTTTCGAAATATTTGACACATTTTTTTTTTTACTTCTATTTTCTGAAATGAGACACCATTCGCGTACGGCACATGTAACAGTGACTCTAGATACAAGGATCGTCCGAACGATGTGCTGAAATACACTATAAGTGGCCATGTTTTAAGCAATATTTGTCCGCCGACCTTCTAAAAATAGTACGCTATGACGTTTTCCGGTCGGAGAAATGACAAAGCCTATACAAGTTGAATGTAGATTCTGTGTAAGCCAAGCATATCATAATAACAACTGAGCCATAATAATAACTCATCAACATCTGGGCGAGCATATACTATTTACATGTGTTAACTATAGTGCTGTAACAGAAGACTCACTTCAAATGAGTTCAGGGTATGTGTAAAATAGGGGAACGATTGTAAAACTAAGAGGCACCAATATAAAATAGGCTAAAAAGGGAGCAAAAGTAAGTGCCATTGGATAGGATCCTTGTTGTTGCATGAAAAAAAAAGATTTCAGGTAGCCAACAAATGATTGAAGCGTTAGTGACAGTGAAAGTCTTCCTACTCAATGACCTTCCTGCTCTTCTCCCTTTAATCTCCTTGAAACCACCAATGATTAAATTTTATTAATAAATTTGAATAGCTTATATAAAATTTAAATACTTTGTTTATTATGTAGATCAATTTTATGCATATATTTTTGGGTAATGGATGTACCATTTGAGTTTACATTAATTATGGGGGAAATTCACTTTGATAAAGAGCGCTTTGAAATACAAGCTTGCTTTCATAACAAGTTAACCATAAAATCCAAGTTTATATTGTTTATTGAGAAGAATTTCTAGACTCTTTATTAATTTTAACTTGTTTTATATAATATTCCAGTTACAAATAAGACCCTAAGATGAGTTATCCACAATATGGTGGTGGTTACCCTCCTCAGCAGCCTGGGTATCCAGCTCCTGGTGGGTATGGTGCTGGTTATCCACAACCCGGTGGTTATCCACCCCCTGGTGGAGTAAGTTTTTTTTTTTTTTATAAAACAAACATACATTTTCAAGAAACGTCCCTCTGAATTAATTAATATTATGTGTCAGCCAAGCATATCATTAAAACAATTGAGCCTTTAATAACGTGTCAACATTTGGTTGAGCGTATACTGTTTACTTTTGTGTGCTGTAACAGAGGACTCCCTCACTTCAAATGAGGTCAGGGTATGTGGGTTTGTTTTTGTTTTTTTTTGGGGGGGGAGCAATTTATCATGTGATTTCAGTATATTAAAGATTATCTGATTTAGATTTAGAGATAAACTATTACCAGTTCTTGTGATCCATAAAATAGTTTTAATTATAATTTAATGCAGATATTTTATCTAACAGTAAGTTTACTCTAACATATAAATATAGTTCTTTAAAGAAAGCTTTAAAAGAAAGTAAAAATGTATTAATGACTTCCAAAATTTGCAGGCTGGTATGCCAACTCCTGAATCGGCATCTGCTGCAGCTTATGGCACTGCTCCAGGTGGCCTTCCTTATGCTCCACAACCATCAGGTGGTCCAGGAAATATTGGATTCAATGTCAGTATATATGTATATTATAATAGTTCATTAAATGTATGATTGTAATTTTTTTTAGTACCAGTGCTGCCCAATGCTGTTCTTCTCTTAACATAGTCATGTATTTTGTTTTTTTGGTTAACTTCCAGCCCTGGTTGTCCTGATGTGTCTTCTAATTCAATCAAAGCTTTTGATGTGTCTTTAACTTTTCCCTAACAGGGCTATGTCATCAGTATATACAAGATACTGAAGGGTTTTGTTGTAGAGAGTGCTCATTGGTTGTCTTGGGTTTCCTTCAGAAAGTATCCTGTGATTGTTCCTCGGGTGTCAATATGTATGCTTCTTATAATTCTCTCAAATGTTAGGTTACATAGCAAACAAGACAGTGAGTTGATTTCGGCCATTATGTATCAGGCATGGTCTCTGCTTAAATTTAACCCTTACAATTGCAAGTAGATGGTTAGAGTCTGCATCTACCCCTCAATAGCTTCTTACATCTAGTTTGTCTGATCCATGCCTCCGATCAATTAGAAAATATTCAATTTGGTTGTGAGTGATTTCCATCTTAGTGAGTTCCTAGTAACTTATGTATATTTTTATGTGAAAATATGGTGCTACTAACTGTCATCCCTTTTCTTGAAGCAAAGTCTATGAGTCGGATCCCATTGTCATTGGATTCTTCATGCAGGCTCTCATTGCCAATAGTTGGCATATTAACCTTTTCTTTCCCTAATTTGGCATTTAGGTCGCCAATCACTATTTTAATATCATGACATGGTCCCTCATTTATTAGTTTAAAGTAGGCTTGCACTGATTAGCAAATCGGCAGGCTACCAATTAATTATCTGCTGAATATTTTCAGTATAATTATGTAATTTAGTTAGCACCTTTTATTTTCAGCTGCTATAGAAAAATTAATTTCATCCTCTAACTTTACTTGATACATTTTCTCATTAGGTCGGTGGACCAATGTCTGGCCCAGGATATCCTGGTGCTCCTCCTGCTGCCATGCCATCTGGATATCCATCTGCTCAGCCTACTTATCCTGCAGCTCAGGTAGTTTCATTATCTTTTATCCAGCTGGTATAATTCTAATACCAGTACGCCAATACGTAGCATGTAGGACAATCCGTAACTTGTATTGAATCCTCAGTTCACACAATTTCTGCCATTTTTTTGAGAATGCTGTTATCAATTTATTAATTATTTATTTCATGGTTTAATGGTTATGGATTGGGATGTGTCAGTAAAAATGACTACACTACACCTTGTTGTATGAGTTTAACTTCAAATAGATTTTTAACCCCATTATTATTAAATAATAGTTGTTGAAATGTTTACTCATATATTTTTAACATTTGATTTATTTTGGTAATTTTTCTACGTAAATCGTTCTGATTGTTTACAAAAATATTTTTAAAATCCATATATCTTGGCTAAGAGATCTTTTTGTAAGTTCCACACCTTGAGATGGCTAAGTTAACACAGTGATTGTGTCAAATCTACCAGACTACTCAATGGCGTTCATCAAATTCCGTGGCGTTTGTATTAATTTCAGCCCGGGTATCCAGCTCAGCCTGGGTATTCACAGCAGAGTGGTGGCTACCCTGCCCCTGGTTACAACCCAGCAGCACCCGGTGGGTATGGAGCCCCTACACCTGCGTATGGTCAGCCACAAGGCTCTGCACAGCCCCCGTATGGTGGTGGCGTTGGAGGACCCACACCAGGATATGGAGCCCAGCCAGCAAGTGGGTATGGAGCTCCTCCAGCAGGAGGTTATGGTGCTCCCCCAGCAGGAGGTTATGGAGCCCCGCCAGCAGGAGGTTATGGAGCCCCCCCAACAGGAGGTTATGGAGCACCTTCTGCTCCTGGATACGGGGCTCCTTCTGCTGCTGGATATGGACAGGCGGGTGGACAATATCCAGGTGGTCAAAGCGCTGGTCAACAGGGACAATATCCTGGAGCTGTTGCTGGTGGATATGGAAATGTTCCTCCTGCAGCTAACTATAAAATATATGTAAGTATATTTTAAAAAATGTATATGCTTTCAATCTTTCTCGTCTACTGAGTACGTTAAATGAAAATAATCCCAAAGGTTTCTTTAAATAAGTTATATTTTGTAAGCCCTAAGGTCACTGTACATTTGCATTATCATTTTTTTAAACTGAATTTTCTTTTTTCTAGGAAGAGGGAACACTAAAACCATTTCCCCACTTTAACGTTGAACAAGATGTGCAAGTTCTAAGAAAGGCCATGAAGGGACTCGGTAAGGTTTCCTTGAAATAATTTTTTTTTAAAAATAAAGTTGCTTAACGCTCTTAGAAACATTTATCGCAAAACATTTTCATAGACTTAAATACAACTTTGCTAGTTAAACTGTAGGTACATCCTTGCCATCATCACCGACCCAGATCAGTTTTTTCACAGTTATGAATATTACATTGAATTTAATAATTTTTTATTTTTTTCCATTTGCCATAAATTATTGAGAAGATTAAAAGGCATTTAATGTAGTTTTTCCATAAACTTTTAAATGTATAAGTATAATCTTAAACTGTTAACTCCAGGTACTGATGAGAAAGCAATAATTGATGTTCTTGGTTATCGTTCTAATGAACAGAGGCAGCAAATCAAGCTCATGTACAAAACATGCTATGGTCGTGTAAGCATATGTCAGATAGTTTGTTCATTTAAGAAAAGCTAGTTTCAGCTTATATAATTGTAGCTCAGACGTAACTAAAAATAGCATTTTTTTTTAAAAATAATTTTAAAAACTTTCAACATCCCGTTGAAATCTCTAGGTTTACATTCTCTAAATAATTCATAAATTTTGTCAATCACAGGACCTTCTGAATGACCTGAAGAGTGAGCTCGGTGGAAGATTTGAAGATGCTTGTATAGCCCTTATGATGAAGCCGGATGAGTTTGATGCTTATGAACTTAGGAGAGCCATGCGTGTAAGGCCTCTCTTACATCTTGATTATTATACATAAAAGCCATAAAATGCTAATTTAAACAAACTAGGTTCATTTTATGTCCACAGCATTAGCTTTTACATTTTTGTTGGTATCCAACATGAAAAATAGCAGGAGCTTAATTTGTATTTCATGGATACAAAGTACTTTTATTTATTTGTTCACTTGTAATGAATAATCTATGAGGGTAAAAGATAATGAAACTACCTGAGCTGTGAGATAAGTAGTTTGAGTGAATCGTGTGCCAGCTGCAAATCAAGCTTTCCGAGTGGAGGGTTTAATAAAAGTTTTAGTGGTTAATTAGTTAGTGGTTTGATGCATTTGTAATGTTCTTACTTAATCTTTGCATAATCCAGGGTGCTGGTACAGATGAGGCAGCTTTGATAGAGATATTGTGCACTAGGACCAATGCTCAGATCCATGCCATAACTGCTGCATATAAACTTAGTAAGAATTATCAATCAATCTGTGTGTGAAACATGAATTATATGAACTATTTGAATTATTCATGTCAGCTAATTGTATATCTTTTAAACAACTTTTTTAAAAATATTAACTTCTTGTGCTTGTAGTTCATATATTATGGTTACGTTTCGATGACATGCAATATCTTATATTTCTCTGGTAAAACAATAGAATGCCACATAGCTGAAGTTAGATGTATGATTAATCTCAAGGGATCCTAATTTTAATCTATTAAAATTTGTTGGATCCTTAAATTACCAAATCCTTAATGCATCTACCTGGAGTAAAAACAAGAAACTCTTCAATGATTAAATATTTTGTCAGGATTTCTTGTTACTTTAAGTTCTTGGAACTAAACTTGAAAATTAATGGTGAATGATGAAAATTAACATTATTAATCATACGGGATATGCAAAATTAAAATAATTTACTTTGTTTTGCAGTTTATGGTCGTAAATTAGAGGATGATATCATAAGTGAAACATCAGGACATTTCAGGAAACTGTTGGTATCCATGTCTGTTGTAAGTAAATTTAATCAGTTATGCAACAGATTATTTTTCAGAGAGGTAGTGAAGTGGCTAAATCAGTTAGTCTGAAGTAAGTTCAATAATTTGAAAATCAGCATTACTAAAAAAAAAAATTTCACTTACTTCAAGCGAAGATAGCTAAATTGACATTTCATCAGTCATCCTACCAATTAATTGATAACAGATTAATAAAGACTGAAGAAGTCATCCAGCTAAAACAAAATCCAGATTGAAGAGTAAAGCTTTCCTTATGAAATTACTCAAACAAAATCATGCTGAAACTAAGATCTGACTGCAACATAATAAAAAAACAAGATTACATACAGACATAGACATAACTGCCAGTGACATAATTAAAGATCTTTGTGACAAGCAGTGCTACAGATCAAAGAAAAAGTTAAAATTTGCAAATAGATAAACTGAATTGGATTTAACCTTTTTAGCATTTTATTTTTCATTGAATAATGGAACGCGGAATTCAGATGGCTGCTAGATGCATCATATGAATAATTTACAGAAACCACTATGAGTCAATTATTTGAATAACACAAAAGTTATTATTTTTTTAAGGGAGGAAGACAAGAAAACCAGCCTGTTGATATAAACAAAGCTAAGACTGATGCCCAAGTAAGTTTCTCTATTCAGGCTTACCTTCACCGTTTGATCAAACGGTCACATCCACAAAAGTTAATTGCTCTATGGTTGGCTTCCCTTATTTTTAAGCTAAAAGTATTCAAGGGTTAAATAGGTCAACACATATAATTTTTCTAGAAGCTCATTAATTCCTGTTTTTATTGTTTTCTCCAAAACCAGAGACTCTACCAGGCTGGAGAGAAGAGGTGGGGAACCGATGAGAACACCTTTAACATGATTCTAGCCTCTCAGAGCTATGAGCAGTGTCGAGCTGTGTTTGATGAATATGGTCGTCTCTCCAAGCATGATATTGAACAGGCCATCAAGAATGAGATGTCTGGAGATCTCTCCACTGGAATGCTGACTATTGGTAAGTTTTATTGTGCTAGAATATTTCTAGTATTGTCTGCCCCATTAAATATATATATATAAAGATTGTCTGAAATCTGCAAGAATTAAAATAAAATTGATTTAACCCGTAGCAGACCTAATTACACTTACCATTTTGGCATACAATGTACGATTTTGAGATGTTTTTTATGTCTGTAGGCCGAGACCCGTCAGAACTACAATTTTAAAAGACCGGATTGAAAATATATACATTCCATATTTAAAAAGTAAAATTTTGGTTGTTAGTTTTAATTTGCATTCTCCATCCAGCAGTGTATGAATCGAGATGTACGAATGGTTGGGGACCTTCTATAATTACATTACGTTTGCCCTGAGAGGCAAAGGGGGTGGTGTTGATTTAGGAGATTGTGTGGATGGGGGCAGGTCTAAATATTTAAATGTATGCAATCAACCAGAAACTCTGAAACTCCAAAAATAGCATATCAATATCTCAAAAGCTGTAAAATAATACCTGATGTTCAGTTGGTTGAATTATCGTCGTGATCTTGCCATATATTTTAACAAATGAACTCGCTAGCTATTCTCAGATAATACTCTGTAGTATTACAGTAAATTACAGTAATATTTATTTCACTGTTAAAGTTCAACGTACAGTAATATTTAGTTCACTTTTAAAGTTCAACGTTCGGGTTCGTGGGCGCAACGTCTATTTTGTTGGACTACGCCAGTGGTTCTAAAATTTTCATTTCCCAGCGCCAATGCCAAATTTATGTTTTCAACAGGCTCCTTGTGTGAAATTCTAACAAGTACACTTAGAAATAGCGAATACATAAACAAAATAAAATGAAGGGTTGGGTAAAAATAAATATAGCATGTCACTAAGAGCCATCTATTAACTACAAACAGTAGCTACTCAAGTGGATTACTGTTTGCTTTACGACCACAAGTTGTCACATTGGATAATGGGGAAATAAAATTTTGTAATATTTTGCAATGCCCCATATAGGAAAATGTGCGCACACACCCCACCCCCCTCCTGTCCAGGTGGACCAGTAATAGGACAATTGATTGCACCCTTTGTCTTTGTGAAGAAAAGGGAGATTTTGTAGTTTAATTCACTATTAGGGTCCTTTCTAAAGACGTTTTTGGCGCCTGTTGTTCTTCGCCCCATTCTCATGGCACTGCACAAGGGCGAGCACCCCGGGCACCACTGGACTTGTCGAATCACCAGTGGTAAAACTGAGTGTACATTTGGTTACTGTAACCTCATCAATTTAGAAAGATTATTGGAGTTTGTTGGTTGTATTGTTGTGTTTTTGTTGTTGGGACCGCAATTTGTTATTGTATATATTATATATGCTGCATTTTTAATTTATTTATATAATATTAAGATACTGTTTTGTATAATTTTTAGGCGATATTGTATAATTTTAGAAGTTTTGGGGTAAACAGGTCTGCAGTAGTATGCTGAAGCAATTCAATTATAGTCCATTCATGTGCTAAAAACTGCATGTATCAGTGTTTCTATTAAACAAGATGTCCTTTTTATCAAAATGAACGCTGTATTATTTGTTGTCTCAATGTTAATTCTATATGAGGTAGCTTCAATTTTGTGTACTTGTAAGTTTGGACTTTTCTTTGTTTTATCGCTCATGGAGTACAACTTTATTATTAACAGCAATTATTTCATTATAACATTTACAATCTTATAAAAATTGAATGAAGATATTTCAGAAAGAAGATTTTATATTATTTAACCTCACATTTACATGTTTGAAATATTAACTTATAAAAGAAAGTATTTAACAATCGGGTTACATTATTTTATAAAACATTAACATTTTAGTGCGTATGATCAGAAGTAAGCATGGCTACTTTGCTGACAGACTTTACTATTCAATGAAGGTAAAATTTCTTAATTATTTAATAAATAAAATAGATTGTTAAAATTTACTGAAAATCGACATCCAAAATGATGCCTAATTTTGTCATAATTTGTTTTGCTTTAAGAGGACAAAAAACTTCTGAATAAAAAACCTCTATAGAAGATTATAGTTAATTTTGCTGAAGTGCAACTTTTATCCTCTGATAAACGATATAATATCTCAACATAGCAGCTAAATTTCATGAGTGTTTTTTTTGAGTGTTTCGGAACAGACTGGAAACATTTATTTTATATACATTACCATATTTTAAATAGTTTTGCTTAACAAAATACTTGTGTTTTATGCTTTTAGGGATTAGGAACTGATGACAGAACCTTGATTCGTGTTGTGGTAACTAGAGCTGAAGTGGATATGAAACAGATTAAGGATGAGTTCCAGAGAAGATATGGACAGGGGCTTGAAGCTTTCATCAGGGTATAAATTCTAACTTATAGTTTTGCTAGAAGAACATAGAATTAAGCCTGAATGGCAGCTTCAGCTTTGCTGCATGCATTTTATTTCATTACTATTACAAAACCTTTTCTACTACAGTACTTTCCAAAGTGTTATCTTATTGATATATTACCGGTACAGCCAAAATTCTTAATAAATTAAAAACTGTCTTCCTCTATTAATCTCATTGTTTTGAAATAAAATACTTCAGCCCTTTTCTGTTAATGCAAGTTCGTGTGTTTTTTATTTCTTTTCATTGCCTTAGGATGATGTGTCTGGAGACTACAGAAATCTGATGATAGCTTTGATATCAGGTCGTTAACGTCTCTTTACATGGGTGGAATTCTCTTGGGTAAGAAATCATGATTGCAAGTCCTCCATGGAATGGCAGATCATTTTTCATTTTTAGCTCAGCTATTAGTGGTCTTGGTTTAAAAATAATTGGGAGACAGAAGAGGTACTACATTTCAAGAGTATTGTAGGCATGTATTTAAGAATGGAGGAAGAACTCCAATCTCTCAAGTGTAATTTCTATAAAATAATTAAAAGAATAACTGGTTGTTTTTCTTAAGAAAAATTGCAATGTTTAAAAGCTGTTAAATCATTTTGGCTCTACGGAACATTTTATTGAAATTAAAAGAAGAAACAAACCAAGAAGTGTTGCCTATAAAAATGTCTCTGGTAATGACATGCCAGTTACATAAACCTGTGTAAATTATTTCATATACCGTACGGAATACATATTAGTGTAAGACTGTCCCTCCAGCTGACAAAGTTGAGTAGTGGTAGTGCAGCAATGTTCATTATTAACCCACGAACTGTGTATGTTATGTTTCTGTACTGTGCGGGGAATTTAGAGCTTTTTGGGTGCCTTTGAAAAAGTTGATTTTTTACAAGCAAACTATAGCTAGACCCCATTAAGTATATATTTATTGAAAGTAGACAGAGTGGGGAATCATACTGGCTATTTTGTTAATGATATTTTATACTCGCTGACCATGACCTTGACGGGACCAAGAATAAACAAAATAATGAAATTTGTTATTTTCAAATACCTCACACTACAATTTTTTAAAGGCATATTATTTTAATGTTGATATAATATGATAACATTTTTATATATCTTTCAGAAAATGTATCATTTGTATATGTTTTAGTTATAAATAGATTTTTAAAAATTCTTTTGATGCCTATAATTACATTCAAGTAACAAAGCACAGCATAAACAATATAAACATTACTAAATTAAAATAGCATGAAACAGATAAAATTTTAAAAGCACCTATATAAATATTTAATTCATAAAATGAAATATAAATGAACATATCTAGAACAACATCCAATTATTTTTTGTTGGTACAAAATCATCTGCAACAAAATTTTGAGGGTCATGTTTTGCTGCAACGTATACTCTTTCTATGCCTAGGTCTAAATGGTCCGAAGTTTCGCTTTCTGACCCACTAGAAAATAATTGGAATTATCATTGCTCTACGTGTGTTTGGAAAATCATCTTCAGAATCACTTAAGTCATTAACTAATAAGAAATATCAAAAAGATTCCTAACTGATTTATTTTGTAAGCCAGATGGTCCAGCTATGGCCTCATCCATTTTGCGAAAATCTACTTACAAAACTTTGCTTGATAAAGATCATTGTAAAAAATTACTCCAAATTTTAAAAAAAGGACCCAGGAAAGCCAAAAATGGAATTTTATTTATTATATAAAGGAATTCATTTTATTTGGTGTAAAATATTGTAGTGGAACTTATTATTTCAACGCAATTTTTATCGGCCGCCACAGTTTAGAACGAGGAAATCTGCCGATAAGATCCACCGAACAAGTTCGTGGGTTAATAAAACTGGACTCTGTGGTCACTGTCTCTTTATGCACTAGTGGTTTATCCAGGTATGGGCAAAAGTGCATCCCTGTGTTTTTAAATAATTTTAAAAAAGTGTGGGAAGGGGACTTGTCCCTCCCCCCCCCCCCCCCCCCCCTCCCCCCACTTTTGCTCCGTTGACTTCGTCGTCCTCAATTTCCATTTCCCCCAAATCGTCTTCGTCTCTCAAATTAGCATTTTTTATTTGCAATAATGCACTGTATTTAAATATATAAACTTTGGTCATCTTCTTTGAAAAGTGACATAAAAAAAGTTGTGATGTGAATAGTTATTGTTATACATTATACTGTATGTATATTTATTTAAAATTAAAATACAGTTTTTTACTAATTTGGAAGTTCCAGTATAACCATGTCTGTAGCCTGAATCTCATTCATGTTTATTTTTCTTCTTCTCTCTAGGGCCAGTGATTTCTGCCAGTGATTATTACAACAAAATCCATTACATCTTATGAATGAGAAATATTTTTTTTGTAAATGGAACCACAACACTGGAGCAGATATGTCTTGTGCCACTGAGATAACCTATATCTTATATTAAAGTAGCAATGTATTTTAGGATAAAGAATGAGAAGACTATTTAATGACTGTCTGTATGCCTTTTATCAGCTTAAATTAATGCAAAGTGCTCAAATTTGTATTTCCCGTGCATGTATTTATGCAATGATACTAGCTACTGAATTTCAAGCGAACATTCAAAAGATGAGAATTAAATGAATTAAATGATAATAGGGGATCCCTTTACCCAGTGGTGTGCAACCTGCAGTTCATCACCTCAAATGGATTGTCAGGGCTTATAAGTTGATATCTATGTGCAGACATAATAATTTTTCACTAGTCTCTATCATAAAAAGTTTGCTTACCATTGACTTAAGAAGCTGTCTATAAAATTTCTATACAAATATGTTTGAATGCTTTTGTAACTTTTTCCTTGAGCTGGAATTTTGTGCATTAAAAATGCATTTTATTAAATTAATTCTTAACATTGCCGTGGCTATAAAATTGTAATCTTTTTTCATTGCCTCCTCTGTACTCTTTCTATGATTATAAATATAGCTGTAATAGATGTTTTTTTTCTGAGATATTGGTTCTATGGTTAGATAGATTTTATTTTTAGAATAGTATTATTGTTTATAATTTATAAGTAAATTAAATAAGTAAATTAAATACAATCGGGTACAGCTTTTGAAATGCGGTGGGGGTGGTTTCTATCCTCTCATCAGCTGTGTTACCCGTAAATAAAACTGTTAAATGACTGCGTATAACAATGTAAACATCATGACTCGAAATATCATGAAAAGTCAAGCAACAAACTGCAAGCAGAAAATAAAATGTTCAGCCAGATGTGACCATGATTTCCAAAGTCATCTCAGTACCCCATACGAACACCTGTGTCTTAATACAATTGAATTCTTGTTAACATTTTATATCCGTCAAATTTAGTTCATGTGAAATTTCCTGTTCTCCCAGCTATAACATGTCACGTTATCTAATGTAACAAATCATAACTGTCTCTACATACTTGTTAATGAAAGTTTAAAACCTCTTTATTTCATTTTTTATTTCTCCTTGGTAATTCTATGAAATAAATCTACACAATTTTAAAGCTGTTTTACAATGTTCTTGTTTTGAAGTTCACCAAACCATGATCATGAATAAATTAAGATTCTATAGGGGATTTTTCTTCTTGACTTGTTATTTACTTCTTAAGCAACTTTCACAAATCACCGTAACAGCCCGTTTTTATTGTCTCTTTGGGGAGTAAAATTTTAATTTAATTCTTTTACTTTTACAATCTTTTTTAAAAACTAAAATAATGGTCTAACACAGTGCTCAAAATTATCATTGTGACTAATTAGTAACTGACGGGGAAAAAGAAGAAAGGGTGCTGAATTTACTGTCAAAGCTCTTAAAATTATGACTAAGGGCATATGGACATGTTCTCACTTTGAGAAGCACTCGTCTAGGCTATGTTTTATGGGGGGAAGATTTTTTTTACCTCCTATTTCTATATTGTCCTGTCCAACTGTTTTGTTTCAATATACAGCATATTATGGTAAATACCTTTTATTATCTTGACAATTCTTACCATTAATCCAGTACATGATTTAAAGCTTGTGACTTACATTGTTTGTGTTTTTTATTTTAAGGTTTGGTTGTTGATTTCTATGCTCTAGTTTTGAATATGACTATGCATTTATAAAAACAATCCATATCCCATCTTGACAAAGTGAGGTTCAGACCAACTTTACTAAAATACAAAATACTTGTGATCCCACTGAAGCCTTAGACTTAAAACAGAATGTCTTGTAAAACTTGCTAAAGATGGATCCAATTCCCTAAAGATGGTAAATATTGATATCATGTGTGCTGATATAGTCTCATCAAATCTGGAGCATAACATTTACAGATCTCGATACTGAATGTTCAACATTTATCAACCTTTTATTAGAATAGGTAAATTTTTTTTTGATGTTGCTTTTACATTTATGTTTATTTTTACCATTATTTACAGCGAAAATAAAGTAGAAAAAAAAAACAAACACAATTTTGTTGCTGATATTTGTGGAGAGGAAAATTAATCTTGGGTTTAACAATGAGAAAATTGCTGAACAATAGTGTTGCCATTTTTATATTGGCCTATATTAAGCATTTTCTCCATGTACTATATTTGGCTCAGCATGTGGTGGTGTTAGACTTAATTATGGATTTGGATTACCTCACTGGAAGCTAAATTTTGCTACTTGGCCCCATATTTTTATATAAAATTGTGTTTTCCTTTTTTTTTTAAACTCCCAACTTATTTCTTAAATTAGATGATGTAGCTTTAAAAGCATAATTATAAATGAATAGCAGTATTTAACTTTTCAATCCCATGGACGGGGATATAAAACTAGGTGCATACCAAGTTTACTCATGTGGCTTACAAAATGATTTAGCTCACATAGGTAACTTTTTACCATTGGGCCATTTCAAATAATGAAAGTGAGATTATATTATTTATAATTTTTAGAATATGTAAACCATCAGTGATCACTCCTCACCCACCCACACATTTTATGAAATCTCAGAGATTATGCTGGTAAGTAGAAAGCCATCCAGTCACAACGATATAACGAATTAAATTAATGTAGCCATTACTGTCGCAGTAATTGGGGCGTGGATGTTATCTCATTAAAAATAGCTTATTGCATTATTAGTTGAAGACTTACTAAACTCACTTAACTCTTTAATAATTAAATAATTAACTAAAGATAAACATTTTCTAAAATAATGTATTTCTCTTTGTCAATCTTACATTTTTACCGAACTTTTTAAATTTTAATTATTTTTTTTTAATATTATATTTTTTTAATGTTCAATAAGTCTAGTAGCAGTTAGTAGTATTATAGTAAAAGCTTGGATTTTATTTTATGCAGTGAACAGATTTTTTTTTTTTTTTTCTTTTTTTGGGAATTAACTGGATTTGTTAAAGTTTTTTTTTTTTTTTTTTTTATTTTAGTGGAATTAACCTGAATTGATAAAGTTTTTTTTTTTTTTCTTTCTTAAATTAAATTCAAGAAATAGAAAATCATTTTGCCCCCGACTCACTCACGAGGCAAAATATGTATATGGGTTTGTGTGGCCAGTTGTGTCTTACTCTTCCCAGCCATCGCCAGAATGAACTGAAAATGCACTGTCAAAATACGAGCCGTTTTTTATAAGACTTCAGTTTGCTTACTTCGTTACTTCAAAGGAGCAGTGGTGTTATGTCTTGAGTCGAGTCTTGACTTCATTATTAGCTTCCCAATCGTTGAAATTGAAGCGGTTCATTCAACTATCTGGCGTTTGTTCCCGGCACCGCCGTGACCACAAAACTGACCCCTGATAACTCACGATGGAGTGGTCAAGCCACTACCGTCGCACAGGAGAGCCGGCCAAGTGATCTCGGTGGTCGACAGGGTGCACCGCACCCACCCCTTAGCACCTCATAGAAGTAATGGCGGGGTTGCTGTGGGTACGGCGTCCCTGACAACCGGGAATGGAAGACAGCTTGGCTCGCTCTTTTTTATCACTAGAGCGGCCAAAATCTAACACTCCGAGTATTTTCCTGGAACACGAACATCCCAAGAGGTAACGAAGTAAGCTTTGGAAGTCTTAGAGAACATGGCTTACGCCGTGACAGTACCCACTTCCAGTCCACCTGTAATAACAACATGGCTGACCTGGTAGCGGTATGAGCAGACACACGTATTGTCCTCTGTCTTCGCTAACCAGGGCGTTAGCTTTCATCTTATTTATACCCTTGATTTGACCTTTGATCCCAGTACTTACGAAGACTCTAAAAATAACCCGAGATGGCCTTTTTTCATTGGATGATATTAATAAATGAGTGACATGATGTGTTATCTTGAATGATTTTGGTTGACCCGACTTGGGTGTATTCCTATTTTAGTAGCAGCATTGCACATGAAGAGTTTTCTTGAAGATTGCATCCCCCCCATCCCCACTCCCTTGTGGAATCGTTATTATTTGCTTATAACTCACCAGAAATTATCACTATGGTTATGGCATTTGTTATTCTTAATTTTCCTGCATACATTTTTTTCTTCGCCTAATTAAACAAAGATTAAAAAGATCTAATTTCCACCCCAAAGTTATTACAAAATACTATGTTTCTGAGTATATGAAACATGGAATATCGCTGCTAGTACTCCTACCACCACTACTACTGTTCCATTAATTATGTTAAGGAGAAAGAGAATTATGCCATCAAGAAGGATCAAACGCATAATATCGTTGTGTTAAACTCAAGTAACTTACAATACATTCCTTCCGTAAGTGCAAGCGACAGGCCTATCAGTTATCGAAAGTTTGCAAGAGATAACAGTAGGCCTGGTTGATTAATTTATTTTGATGTAATGGCGCTACGACTATCAATATTATGAAAAATGATGATTCATCAAGTGCATAGGTTTACCAGTAAAACTATAATGACTATTCTGCGTACGGTGGGCGTGGAAACGGGGGTGGGGGCCAAGGTGGCAAATCTTCAGAGGGCACAAAATCGATATTTTTTTTTTTTAAATGTAAAATACGTGTGTGATTACATTACAAAATTTTGGGGAAGAGGATGTCAAAATTCATCTTTTGCTTGGCAAGGCCTTGTAGATTATAGGACTATATGAATAAGTGAGGGTGATTCTGATTTTTTATGTCCACTTCCATTTAGTATTTACCGTGAGTAAAGGTGTATGATATGAAGTTCTGTTACCATAATTGTTTAACAACTTTGATCCCCCATGGAAGGCCACTGTTATTTACACTAGAACACCATGGTGGAGACAGCCATGCAGATACTGGACGCTATCACTATCATGACTCTCGGGACAAAAAGGTTTGTCACACTAGCTTCACTGCAGTCAGTGTAGATGATTATCAAAACACTAGTTTTTTAACTGCCTCAGACTACAATAAATGTGACACCTACATTTTAATTATGAAGAGGTTATTATCAACCCTGAAAGGTCTTTATGGTCTATTTGCCGCCCATTTAGTAGCCTAGAGCAGTGGTCCCCCAAATGGCGGTCCGTGGACCTTCACCAGTCCGCATGCCTAACGCTGCCGGTCCCCATAACATAAATATTTATTGTCAAATAGAAATAAAAGTCTAAAAATAAATCATGCACTGGTCCCTGGTAAAATGTCGAAACTTGTTCACCGGTCCGCCAGACTTAAACCATTGACCGAGAGGGTCGTGGGCCTCAGATTTCCATTTACCACCGATCTAGTATTGGGTTGTGGGCATAATGTGCACACCTAATGAATCGTGGGCTTAAAAATGGTAAACAAACCCAGAGAGCTTAAGTTGTGTTCAATATGAGCAGTGGTGTGTACCAAACGTTGAGAGCTTAAGTTGTGTTCAATATCAGCAGTGGTGTGTACCAAACGTTGAGAGCTTAAGTTGTGTTCACTATGAGCAGTGGTGTGTACCAAACCCAGAGAGCTTAAGTTGTGTTCAATATGAGCAGTGGTGTGTACCAAACGTTTTCAAATAAATCAATAAAACTACGGCCTAAATCACCAGGGGTTCACAAACTTGTTGATTATGTAACCTGAGTAACGTTTAAAATGATCCCCCCCCCCCTCCTTTCCTTCCCCACGGAACCAAAACTTATTAACACATTTATCTGGTACAAGAAGTGTGTACCAAACGTTTTCAAATAAATCAATAAAACTACGGCCTAAATCACCAGGGGTTCACAAACTTGTTGATTATGTAACCTGAGTAACGTTTAAAATGATCCCCCCCCCCCCTCCTTTCCTTCCCCACGGAACCAAAACTTATTAACACATTTATCTGGTACAAGAAGACATTTATTGATCTAACCAATGGTGGGATTCACAAACATTTTGTCAAAATACTATTTCTAAAATTTTCAAGCTTCTTTAATTAAAACTTACTCACTTAATCTATTTTTAGTTATGTAGCCTAATTAATTAATCTAATTAATTAAGCCAACTATATCTTGACAATAATTTAATTATTTTAATATTTTTTTTCTATTTTATGGGGCTATTAATGGCATCAGAGAATTTGTTATAATTTTTTTTTTTTTTTCAAAATTCTTATGATTATATTATATAGGCGCATAAGGTAGCTGGATTGGAATAAAATTAATTAACCCATTCATGGATGGGCCCTCAGAAATTTTACCACGTGAAACGCCAGCCAAAGGTGAAAAACTCCACCCTTGCCGCAGATACGTATAGAAATATATTTTAAAAAAACAAAGAACAAAAACAATCTATTTAGCAGTATATTTACATGAAACAAATTGACTAGCATTCATCAATTGCTTCTTTATATGATGCATAACATTATTTTCCATTTTTTGCTTTTGGTGTGTAAATTTTTAACAAGTTCAAAGAACTTTTTTTTTTTAAACTTTGCTCCCTCCTAGAAAAACATCTGCGGACGTCCATGCAAGCGGTTACTGCCCATTATGGACCGTTTTGAAGTTTAAAAAAAAACAAAAAAAAAAAACAGAAACTATACATAAAAAGAAATGTATCGCTCCATGTATTTAATACTTAAAAAAGAATGGTAAAATAGGTACACAAACTTAGATTATGTTGCAAGTTAAAAGAAAGAGTTTTAAAATATAGATGGAGAAATAAACCGTGACAAAAACAATAAAACTGTTATTTAAGTTAGGCCGTGCCGAGTGGGTGATTACAATGGTCACTAAAGTTTGTATTTTATTTAGAATACATGAAACCAGTTCCTAGGAAGTATAGCTTTATGAGTTATAAGAATTTTGGTAAAAAAATGAAAGAAAAATGGACAATGTCTGAAAAAAAAATAATGCAAGTTATTTAAAGTGGCTTTTATTTAAGTACAGGCCTAAATGATATGCAATAAACACATTGGATAAATTTGGATAACCAATTGGTTATATAGGTTATTATAAGTATGAGAATCACTCAATAAGCATGTAAGATAACTCTGGGGTTTACTGGTTATTCAAGGAATGACAAAAATATAATGTAACGAGTAGTGTAGTGAACATCCGTTTTCATATGGAATCATAATCAAGTTGCGTAATAAAGTTGAGCAGCAACAATGGTTAATTGTAAGAGAAGATCTAGCATGGGTTTCCAAAGGGAGAAGAGCATAGTCCGTTTAAAATATTCACTAATTACAAAAGTTATGTTGCGGGGTATACTTTAAGATATCAAGAAAATAGCGATATAAATTAAATGGATGTGATCTGTGGACTGAACTAGATAGCGATATAAATGGATGTGATCTGTGGACTGAACTAGATAGCGATATAAATGGATGTGACCTGTAAACTGAACTAGATAGCGATATAAATGGATCTGATCTGTGGACTGAACTAGATAGCGATATAAATGGATGTGATCTGTGGACTGAACTAGATAGCGATATAAATGGATGTGACCTGTAAACTGAACTAGATAGCGAGATAAATGGATGTGATCTGTTAACTGAACTAGATAGCGATATAAATGGATGTGACCTGTAAACTGAACTAGATAGCGTTATAAATGGATGTGACCTGTTAACTGAACTAGATAGCGATATAAATGGATGTGACCTGTTGATTGAACTAGATAAAGCCAAAGAAGTATGTCTTTGTGGTGTAAAGCTTCCAGTAGAAGCCGCTAAATTCATAAACACTAATAAGTTATACAGGATTTCATGCCACATCTGTGGATAGCATTAAGAATAATCCTTAAAATACCTTTTACTGTAGCCACTGGCGAGAAAAGCTTTGGCAAACTAAAGCTTATCAAAACATATAATTTACGATCATCTATGCCTCAAGACAAAATGAATTCTTTGGCAATTTTGTCTATAGAAACTGATCTTACAATGAAAACAAACATAGAAAGTGCAATAAAAAGATTTGCTGGGCTAGGGAGAAAAATGTCATCGGTAGGCTAATTGTTCATATGTCAAAATACAAGTTAAGAAAAACAATAAAACTGTTCATTGTTTGTTTTAAAAAAAAAAACAACAACCTAGGTCATAAATACCTAACCCCTAGTTTTTTGCCTTTCAAAATATTTTAAGATTGTTTTAAAAATCTCAATAAAAATAATTTTAAAAAAAATTAGTTATCGGTTCTGCTTAACCTCGCAAACCGCCTAAATCCCATCAATGAATCTAACCATAACGTTTTTATTACGGTGACTTCTTATTGATCAGTGATGAGTGAAATTGATTTGTTTGTAAATATATCAAATTAGCCTTTTTTTAATTTTTTTTAAAGTTAGGCTTTATACCAAAGATATGTCCTAGAAAATCAGATTTATTTACAATTCATTAGCATATTAGCAGCCGCAGATGTTTTTAAGGTGAATTTGGTTTGCATATAATCTGTTGACCTACTGGTGTATTTTTTTTATTTTTATTTCTAGCAAGTCAATTAAAAATGGAAGACCACCATAACTGTTTTATTTAAATTATTATTTTTCATATTTATTAATTTTATCAGGTTAATTTGGTCCGGAAAAAAAAGGATGGGCCGGGTGGGGGGGGGGTAGGTGGGGCTGTGGGGAAACACTTTGCAATCGAGAGGGATGGCGCTACAAAATGTTAAGAACCCCTACCATAAAAGAACTGCCGATGTTCATGTTTACAGTGAAACAGTTGGCAATTTGCATTTTAAAACATCCCCAGGGCTCGTTTTGGTTAGGCGATTTCAACTCAAAAATGATCGCCTTTTAAGAAAGTAACATAACACCGTATGATTTAAATTTGAAAAGTCTTAACCGTGTGCATTATGTCATCGTAATAACGGTTCTTGAATATTTTGTAAGGAGCTTCTAATTTTTTCTTGCTAGCAGCTCTTCCCAACTCTATTTTTTTTGTGTGTATTTGCTCTATCTTTACAAAAGTAAATTAAATATTATTAATAATGGACTTACTACTAAAATAAACGTAAGACTTGATACTTATCCTTATACTTATACATATAAATATACATTTTTACGATAACTCAAAGTTCAATTATTTTTATTTTTTTAAATTTGTGTGTGTGTGCTGTTCTACGTTTCATCACAACCCTTGACATGAAAGCTAGCACCCTGCCTATGTTGGACCCTTGACATGAAATCTAGCACCCTGCCTATGCTGGACCCTTGACATGAAATCTAGCTCCCTGCCTATGTTGGACCCTTGACATGAAATCTAGCTCCCTGCCTATGTTGGACCCTTGACATGAAATCTAGCTCCCTGCCTGTGTTGGACCCTTGACATGAAATCTAGCATCCTGCCTATGTTGGACCCTTGACATGAAATCTAGCACCATGCCTATGTTGGACCATTGACATGAAATCTAGCACCCTGCCTGTGTTGGACCCTTGACATGAAATCTAGCACCCTGCCTATGTTGGACCCTTGACATGAAATCTAGCACCCTGCCTATGTTGGACCCTTGACATGAAATCTAGCACCCTGCCTATGTTGGACCCTTGACATGAAATCTAGCNTACCTCACTACTTTTGTAAGATTTAGGAAATAGTTTGAAAAAAACAACAGTTGTTGAATCAAATGTTATTATCATTGTGAACACAGTAAAGTGCATGTTAAAAAAACAAACAGTTTCTAACACTACAAAAGACAAAAAAAAAAAAAAAAAAAAAAAAAAAAAACAATTTTAAAAAAAAAAAAAAAACCCAAAAAAAAAAAAAAAAAAAAAACGAAACCAAAAAAATGCCCCCCAAAAAAACACAAACATTTTTAGTGAATATGGGCACAGGCTCCATTCATAGAAAAAAAAAAAAAACTTTAATACTTTTGAATTTTTAAAAGGTATTTTATTAAAACTGCTGCCCTATTCTATTTTGCAAGCTTTGTACATAGTTTACATATAAAGAGAACCTAACATGCCCCAACCAAAAAGTGCCATTTCCGTCTTCCAGCATCCCTGGGGCTCTGTGCCACTGTATGTATTTAATGCAGCACATCTTTCTACTACTGTAGTACTTCTACAGAAGGTCTCGTCGTCGTCCCCCCCCCCCCCCCCCCCCCCCCCCCCCCGCCCGTAGCGCTTGCCGTGTTGCAAGGCAAACTTTAGTCTATTTTTTCTCCCAGGACTTTCAAGTAGACGACGTCTGTCCTGACTAGCACGGGCCGTTATGGGCTGATTGACGTCACACGAGTAATGTATGTTGAGAGGGCAGACGGTGAGGGAGGGATGGCCCGCCCCGTTGTTTGGCACATTTTTCTTGACATGGAGAGGCGGAATTTTCGGCAGCGAGATTCTCATGTCAAGGGGTAGCAAATCTATTTTTTCCGCCTCGGGTGGCACTAATCCTAGCTCAGCCACTGGCCCTGGACCCGGCCGTGACAGGTAGAGAATGTGTGACAATGTTGATTGTTGTGTACTAAAAGTTTTTATACAAATTAAATGTGTGTGTGGGGGGGGGGGAAATAGTGGTACGAATACCACAATTGGCTGCTATGTCTACTGATGCTATCTAATCTTAACTTTATTTTTTACAATTATTGTCTGTAACCTCAAATTTAGTGGGGGGGGGGGGGTTTAATTGAATTGAGAAACGTTGTTTATTTAATTTTCTTTTGAATCTCAAATCAGCATTTTAAATATAAAATAAAAGTTAAAAGTTTGGTCGCAAGCATCGGTGGTCTAGTGGTAGAATACTCGCCTGCCACGCGGGTGACCCGGGTTCGATTCCCGGTCGATGCAACTTTTTGATTTTATATTTTTAAGACGGTTTCACGATGCAACTTTTTGATTTTATATTTTTAAGTCGGTTTCACGACCTAGAAAATCATAATCATAAAGGCTAGTGTAATTTAATTAATGATGCCAAAACTAATTATAAATTATAACATTTTTTAAATGTGCACACAAAAAAAAAACCAACACAGTCTTTAATAAAGTAATAGTTCAATATATATTTAAATTTTTAAGTTCAAGAAATTCCACTGCGTCAATAATAGACTGCACGAGCGACTGGCTTCCAGACGTGTGTTATCACCCCCCAGCTACACTAGGACGTCTCGTTCATTCATCGATTGGAAAACTCGAAGCTGTCATAATGCATGAAGTGACACCTGAATCTCTGTCAGCTTACTTTAGTTACCTCTTGGAATGTGAACACATAAACAATCTTTACAAACACGCATATCAAAACGAACACTTTGACATGTCGTACTGTAGATTGTGATTGTGATTAATTAATTTTTTTAACCAGAGAAGAAAAAAAATATATAACTAAGAAAATTTAAGAGTGATAAGAGCAGAAAATAAAGCTAATGATAAAATGAAGAGACGGCAAGTTAAACAAAAAAGGTAAAGAAGTTTTTTTTTTTTTTTAAATATTCTTAAACTTAAATTTTTCACAATTAACTATAGTAAGAGAGTACCAACAAAACAACAGCAAACCAAAAAAAAAAAATATATAACTAAGAAAATATAAGAGTAATAAGAGCAGAAAATAAAGCTAATGATAAAATGAAGAGACGGCAAGTTAAACAAAAAAGGTAAAGAAGTTTTTTTTTTTTTTTAAATATTCTTAAACTTAAATTTTTCACAAGTAACTATAGTAAGAGAGTACCAACAAAACAACAGCAAACCTACAAACAAAAGACTGAACACTGCAACTCAACTTCCTCCTGTGATAGAAAACTCCTGGTGCTTAAACCCGGCACCACCGTGACCACAAAACTGACCCCTGATAGCTCACGATGGAGTGGTCAAGCCACTACCGTCGCACAGGAGAGCCGGCCAAGTGATCTCGGTGGTCGTCAGGGTGCACCGCACCCACCCCTTAGCACCTCATAGAGGTAATGGCGGGGTTGCTGTGGGTACGGCGTCCCTGACAACCGGGAATGGAAGACAGCTTGGCTCGCTCTTTTTTTATCACTAGAGCGGCCAAAATCTAACACTCCGAGTATTTTCCTGGAACACGAACATCCCAAGAGGTAACGAAGTAAGCATTTGAGACAAGATGTTATTTCGGACGCAGTGACAGCAACCGCTTCCAATCAACCAGTAAGAACATGCTGGTAGTCATGGTAGCGGGGGCAGACGCACACAACTGCTGCTGTCGTCGCTCTGACACAACTGGTAATAGCGAAACGCCCTTTTTATAGGGCCGAAATCACGTGATCTGCCTACTAAGCATCTATAAATAGCGCACTCTACCATTGGTTAGATTAGAAAGAAGAATGTGATCGTTGGTTAACCCTTTGCTAGCAAAAATGTTGCACCAGCCTATCTTGTTAAGTCTACGTATGTAACGAACATTGAGGGATCCTCAAAATGTTGCGATTCATTATCACTCCCTCACTCACCATCTAGAAAGTGGCCTGACATCATCAACCATTTTGTCACGCTGTGTATTTAATTTAAACATCATCGGAACTCATAAAGTTTCTGTAATCTACAACAAAACTTACCTCCATATTTTCATTTTGAATTTTTTGTGACGTAAATAAAATATTTATCGAAGTATTTTTTTTAAATATTTATTTAGTAAAGACTTTCTATTCTCTTAAATTTCCGTCAGATTTGTTGGTACGTCTATCAAGCGTATTTTTTTTTTTTTTTTTTTTTTTTTAGCCCTCACGTGACCTCCCCATCCCGCTTTAACCCATGACCTACCATATTTTCGCGCAGATAAGACGCACCCGTATATTAGACGCGGGTTTTGACGATTTGAGTAAAACAAAAATGACATAACACGCACGTGGCCTGGCCAAGTGCCGCATTGAGCAATTTATAGATCCAGTGGTTTCCTTTCCGTTAATATAAATGAAAATGTGTCCAATGTTTCATCACCCGTCTAGTGTAAACAAGGCTTCATTACCTATTTTAGATTACCGGTAGATCAAAGAATGGTCTGAGGCAGGATCACAACCATTATGGTTTATTCTTATCTGCCACCGGGTTACTAGCGGATGGGTTGAGTGCCTGGATTCTAGATTCTAGAAACAATAAACGCCAGAGATTCTAGAAACAATAAACGCCAGAGATTCTAGATTCTAGAAACAATAAACGCCAGAGATTCTAGATTCTAGAAACAATAAACGCCAGAGATTCTAGATTCTAGAAACAATAAACGCCAGATGTACAGGCGGCTTCATTGACCAACAAAACATTGAAATGAAAGGATTTTACATATGAAGTGGCCTGCATTGGATTGGTACACCTTGTCATTACTGAACACTTACACCTTTTTTTTTTTTTACAACTAGGAATACACTATAATACGAACTGCACGGCCATATACTTGAGTCAGTTTCCTCCGTAAAGTACCTGCGTGTTACCATTCAAAGAGAGGTCCGCTGGGACGAGCATATTAACAATGTATGTAACCAAGTAAACAAGACCCTGGTGTTCTTTAGGCGAAATCTAAAGATTGGCAACTCCTGTACAAAAGAAAGAGTATTTAAAGCCTTTGTCCGTCCGGTTTTAGATTATGCATCTTCAGTCTGGGGCCCATTTACCCAGAAGAGCATTGACAGGTTGGAGGCGGTCCAGCGACGAGCAGCACGCTTTGTCTTAAACCGCTACAGGAATACCTCTATATAGTGTTGACAGCATGCTGGAAACACTAGGCTGGTCACCATTGGAGGAACGACGACGACAATCCTGATGTACAAGATAAATAATGGGCTGGTCCACTGTTCCAGTATTAAACAGAAACTCGTCCCTCTCCCCCATAGACAGCGACGAGGCCATGACAGGCAATTCAGGCTCATTCCAGCAATAAGCCAGTATAGGAGCTGCTCATTCCTTCCCAAGACAATCAGGGACTGGAACAATCTTTCAAAAGGAACGGTTGAAGCGACAACACTAGACGCATTTGTGTCTATTGCCTCAAGCCTTCAAACCCCTAGTGCATGATTCCCTCACAAAGTGGCACTAGAAATCAGTAAATTGATCGTGGGCCCTTAAGATTTAGAAGAAGAAGAAGAATCGTGAAACGTGAATATCGACCGAAATAATCGTCCTTATATCACACACTGATATAACTATAAAACATTCATAACCAAAACATTGGGCCTCAGCCAACTGTCTATGCATATCAAATCGAGCTTCTAAGGCATCTGTCTGCAATTTATTTAACAGTACATAATGAATCTTATGTCCAGAAAAGCAATACAAATAAAATTTTAAAAAACCAGATGCCAATAAATTTCTTACGGTTTTTCTTATTCATATAATTGTTTGAGCGTATCTATTTTAAATACTTTTTGTTTCAGTCTTGACTAGTTTAGAGGGAAAGTTTGCTACTCATATATGAAAAGTCTTATCAAGGAGGAAAAATAATTTTGGGAACCGATGGGCTTGGCCATATCTTCTTTGCCTATGAAGTAAACATAATGAAACGAAAGTTCACTGTGATAGATTTTGGCCGCTGTAGTGATAAATAAAGAGCGAGTCAAAATGTCTTCCATTCCCGGTCGTCAGGGACGCCGTACCCACAGCGACCCCGTCATTACCTTTATGAGGTGCTAAGGGGTGGGTGCAGCCGATCGAACACCCAGCATTTATGCTCCTAAGAAATGAACAGCATTTCATTATTATACTTCACAAAATATAAATAAACATATAAATATATTTTAAAAAGGTTGCATCGACCGGGAATCGAACCCGGGTCACCCGCGTGGCAGGCGAGTATTCTACCACTAGACCACCGATGCGCGAGGATTTTTCTGGGCGTAAAGAAATGTTGCATCGGCTGATTTTCATATCAGTATCGGTTAATTAAAAATGTTGGCAGTGCTTAATTAAATGTGACCGCATGTGACTTCACGTGCTCCAACTTTGCTTTGATTAACTTTAGGGAGGCCAAGTGCAAATCGCTTCGTTACCGAAGTGACCCTTGACCTAGACCAAAACTTGATAACTACGATATTTTATTAAATATTTAAACAAAAATTTGTTGTCATGTGCAAAGAAATACATTTTGTTAAATGGGAGTTCATTGATCATGTTTATCTACTTAATGGAATTTAAAATAAGTTCTTTTCAATTTTTTGTTCCACATCACAACTTTGGGCCCCTTAGTCATCATAGTCCGCCTGCGCCCGCAAAGGTTGAAGGGGGCCACGTGATTGCCTTGATACCACAGGACACCATTTAGTGGGTGTTTGATAGTTTAATACAAAGTGTAATGACATGTGCCCCGCGAAGAGTTCACTACATTTGTTTTGAATAGTTTGTTAATTCACTGGTTTTAATCATTTGATCAAATATAAAAGTGTCAACGCCATGCTTTTAATGTAAAAAAGGAATCAGTGGTGTTTTAAACGTTTCTTTGATCTGTCATGATTAATATACTCTCAATGTGACCCTGCTGGTCGTTCACTTATTACATACCACAGCCCCACCCCCCCCCCCAATTCTTACGCCACTTTGCGACTAAGTTA